GTTTATAGCACCTGTCGACTGCTTGTACGCAATGGCACGAGTATATTTCACGCTGACAGATGCGACGTTCGATTCATCGTAAATACGTTCCGCGCAACAACATCGAACAGGCATTCTCTCCTCGCTCGAGTACGAGTTTCACGGTTGCCGATGTTACGCGTCGATTTCACGGGAGGAAGGAGGAGGAGGAGGAGGAGGTTGGTTGGTGATTTCGTATACAACAATCTTGGCATTACATCGGTTGTAAATCGGTTCGTCGTAAATGTTGCATTAGGTTATATCGATGTTAATGCATCGGCCGGATTGAAAAATGTTTTCAAGGTTTTGTGCAGTGAGTGTAAACGGGATATATCGAAGATACGGGATCGTGGCGTTATATCGTTGCTCTCGTTGCTTGACGCAATCATTTTGCTTCGAGCGTGTTCTTGATTGAGGTAAGATTTGTTGGACGTTGAATTAATGAAATTAATCGGTCTAATGATAAGGTAGATTGTTTGTTTTTTAATTTCAGCCGTGATGAAAATGGTTAAGAAAATTATTTTATTATGAATCAATGTAAATTGTAAGAATAAAATTCAGATAGGTTATCGAGAGAAATTGGAATAGGTATTTAGAAGGTAAATTATTTTGTGGAAATTTTTGTGAGTTTGTTTTATTTGGTCCGTATATCGCGTCAATTGTTTGATAAATAAGGATGATCGAGAAGCGTTCTATGTTAGGGATTATTGAATGGAGAGGAGAAACTTTTCACGAGTGGGAGCTTTCGAAATGCAGAAACGTTTCATTTTCCACTCAAAGTTCGAAAGTCAATTTGAAGTTAGGAACAGCGAACCTATGGCTTTGTTATTGGCGTGGCGGCGGAAGTAGCTTAAGAGTTGAACAAAGTAGCAGGGATCTTGTAGATCCCAATAAGTTACAAATTTACTGGTGTGTGTGTCTGTGTATTTTCTTTTGAACAAACTCGAGTTAATTTTTCTTTTCCTTCGTTCTATTTGATCAAAAGATAAGCAATATATATTGGAAATACGAATATATACGAAGAATAACAAAATTCCAATCCCGTTATTTTATTATAACGTAAATCAAAATTGATCTCATTTTACGAAATATTTGCAAAGAATAATTGGCGACAATAAAAAAGATTGATAAATAAAATTTGAACGAAAAATCTCCTCCTTTTGAATTCTTGAAATGTTTCACGTGCCATCAAATTATATTTTTCTAATATACGAAATCGAAAATTTGGGTAAAAATTTCTGCGAATTCTTGGAATTTCT